AAGAGAATGAAAGAGTATGAAGAGAATATAAGGGAATGTAAGACGAAAAGATAAATAACGCGGTAGAATTTAGACGATTAACGTTAAAAAAAAACTTACCGAGGAATTCTAGTGTATATATTAGTAAATCCAAAGGGATGTTGGTAAGATTGACAGTAGTGCCAATGTGCGAAAAGTTTATATAACGAAATATTTTTCTTCTTTTGGGCATGACAGTTGAAGTGGATTTACAAGTAGGTAATTTAGTAAGACGTTTTGGAAGTCGTATTAAAGCACCACGTTCTTCAATCTCTTTACGTTCAACTTCTTCACGTCGCCTTCTCTCGTCTCTGTTTTTTATTCTAAGAGAACGACGTAAAGCTGGAGGACGATCTTTATGATCCTTTGTGATTTCCATGCCTGGTGGGAGAAAGCCTTTTTCGTTCTGATTTTATTTATTTATTTATTTATTTTATTTAACCTTTCTTTTCTTTTCTTTTTTTTTTTGTTGTTGAGGATTTTTATGAACGGTAAACGGGAAAGTATAGGGGAACCTAGATAATAATGTTTCTTTATATAAATACGGTCTGTATATATATTGTTTATAACAAGAAAAGTAGAAGAGGTAGATGCGGAAGAAAAAAAAAAAAAAGATAAAGTAGAAATATATAAATGTTAGTATGAGCACACGGCTTTATATATAATTTATCAGAGTAAATATCACAAGTGAATAATATCAAGAGGACTTTAGATAATTTATGACGGCATATTATTGATAATAACAAACAATACTATATAAAAAAAAATAAAAAAAAAGAAAAAAAAAAAAGATAGAAAAAAGAAAAAGAAGCAAATAGCGAAAGTAAAAAGGGGGAAAGGGGAAAAGGAGAAGAAAAGGGTAAAGAAAAAAAAAGGGAGGGTTTTAGCCAAAGAAGACACCATATACCTTAGTCTTATGTTACTGTTGTGCGTGTTGATTTTTTTTTTTTTTTGTGTTGTGTTGTGTGTGTGGAAAAGAAAACGAAAAAAAAAATCGAATGCAAGTACAAAAAAAAAAGCCCAAGCAGGAGATTATGGGTTGCACACTGCATGAGCATAGTGAAAGTAGGCATTAGGCTCAAATTAGAAGAGGTCCAACAGTCCAAGTGAAGGGGTGATGACCAAAAAATTTATCATAGATCATAGACCGTAATCAAGAAAGAAATATATAGGATAATAAAGTGAAAAAAAAAGCAAGTAAATATATACAGGTGGGTTAATGTTTTACATGGATGATCCGAAAAAAAACATACGGCCGTACAATGTTTATCACCAGGTTTTTTTAGATTTTTTAATGAATATGATTTTCATTGTACTTTGATACATATATAAAGGTATCGGTAAGACTTTTCTTATATAAGAACAATTAAAAAAATTTTATTTTCAAACAGAAAAAAAAAAACAATCAATCCCTTCTAAATGAACCCTTCTAAATAAACCCTTCTAAATAATCTAAATGAAACTAAATGATTAAAATAATAATAATTCTGTAACAAGAACACATGATAAATACGGTATTAATTAACACAACTGAAAAAAACTATTTTCTGAGCTAAATTTAAAATTATAATAAATTGTTTTAAAAGAAATAAACGAAAATGATTACAGGATAATAGAATAATATGATTAAAAGGTGAATCAATAAGTTTCATTTCCGTGGTCAGTAAATACTATTAAAAGAATATTTCGGAGCCGAAAACGAAAATTGGTATTAATTTTATTATTTAGTGTTTTTATTTATTATTATATTAATAATAATAATAATAATAATAATAATAATAATAATAGTAATAGTAATAATAATTACTGTATTAATTAGTATATTAATTAGTGTATTAATTTATAACTTTTTATATTATTATTAGATAGTATTTCTCTTTCACGATCTACGACACTATTTTCCGCGATTATCCCAAACCTGAATCGCCTTAAAAATTCTTTTGAAAATGGTTAGTACTTAGAAGCTTAATAAATACATAATAAATGCTTATAATATATGATGATCTTGAGAATTGATTGGCTAGGAAATAAATTAAAATTTCCTAAAAGATAAACACCTCATCGTTACGAAAGAATGATTCAATAATATTGGTAAATATTAGGGACTTTCGCCTTGAAAAAATAACCTTACATACTTGACATAGTAAATCATATGATTAAACCTTGATTTTTAAGGTAAAAATTCATAATCGAATAATCGAATATATATATATACGTATATAAATAAAAATTAAATTAAAGTATAACCTAGCAGGTACATACGTATGTACGTACGTACGTAAGTATAAATAATATAACAGATAAACTGAACGCATTACGATTAACGTTAACACATATACATTATATATTATATTATCGACTCTATAATGTTATTATACAGTTATATATAATGTTATTATATAACGCACAGACTAAAAATGACTCATTTGACCGGATCAAATAATGATAATCTCCATGTTATCTTACAAACGAGTTAAACCCTTGATTTTATAAAAGAAGGGGGTTATTTTATTTTTTTTTTGAAATATATACGCAAGATTCAAGTTTATAAAAAATCGAGGATTAAACTTGTGACGAAGATTAACTTTTGGCGAGGATTAACTTGTAGTGGGAATATATTAAAAGTCAAGTTTATAAACAAGCCTATTAATTTAAAAAGCGCATTGATAGAACACCCGGTTCAATCACTCAATCACTCAATGCGAAGTGACTTCTCTTAAAACGGTTGGTCGGCTTGGTATTTTCAATTATTAAAAGTGCCATGCACTATAAATAGTATAAATAGTATAAATTATATAAATAGTTAAATAGTTAAAATATATAGTATAAAATATTATAATTAATATAAATAGTTAAAGTAATCATACGTATAATTATGTTCATTGTTACTTCCCAAATATATTCTGTTATATATTTTTAATTTATACCTAGTTAATACTCAATATACCCAATTAAATATATAATTACATAATTTAAAATACTGTAATTATTGTAATTACTGTAATTACTGTAGTAATAATTACTGTAATTACTGTAAATTATTGTTGAATAACTAAATATATATTGTAATTTCTGAATTTACTGTAATTTAATACTATAAATAATATAATAATATAATGATTAAATATATATAGGTTACTAGTTATTGATCTGATCGAATTTCAACCAATTTTTTAACTAAAGAATAATTGTTATTCTTTTTACGAATATAATGTAATTATTGTTCATTTTTCCAGCAAGCTTTTATAGATGCGTGAATCTCATGGCATTTATCCAAATTCATAATCTGTAATTGTACGTAAATATACACCAAGTAAAAAATTACCTTAATTGAGATGCTACCTAAGCATAATGATTCATTCCTGGTTGATGACCAATGACGTTCACCTTAAGAAGATTTAAAGTATTTATGTTGTTTAATAATATAAAGTTAATAGAATAGTTTTTTTTATTTTTTTTATTTTAAAATAATAATCCAAAATGTATACATCCATAAGTGTACTTATGTGCGTACAGTACGTCGAGTTACTTATGTACGCATGTACATGCGGAGTGACACAAGAAAAGTTCTCACCAGGGTTAAAATAAATAAGAATCCAGAAATGTATAAAAACGGGTTTTTAGACTTTTTTTTTTTTTTTTTTTTTTTTTTTGTACTTACTTAACCGGATGTGGGGTCTTTTTCTTTAATAATCGCACAGCCTCCAAAGAACAAACGAGGGTCTGTTGTTTGAGTTCCTAACCCCCCCCCCCCTCCCCAGATTACTTAAAAGATTTCACCGTAATAACCACATGGAATTCACATCTGGCTAATGTGTACTCCTATTAAATTCTAAGAAACAAAGAATTTTTGATCCTCAATGAATCGATCGACCACATTAAATGATATTAGATGATACGAAACAATTATAAAAATCTCTAATTTATAATTCATTGAAACGAAACAGGCGGTGTACGCTTGGATGTTAATCGTGTCTATGAATTTATCTACTATTGGAAAAATCCACTGTTCTTCCATGCTCAATTACGTTTCTTCATGTAAGAAAAGGTGATCCAATGACCGGGTAATTCAATGTTTCCGTTTGATTAGCGGGAATTTTATACTATATTTTCAAATATTATAAATTTTTTATAAATTTTTTTTTATAAATTATAAATTTTTTATAAAAACTTTCTTTGCGAGTTACACCTACAAAAGGTCCACCGTTTAAATGCATAAATAAAAGTGGCTCTCTCTATGTTCATTGTTCTTTGGCATTATTCATATTCCAAATTTCGTAATGATAAACGACATGCATTTGTTCCCTTTTGGTCCTCCGTAGCGTATTTTTCTTTAGTTGGGTATAATTAAATATCTCGACCATTATGAAAAGTGCAGAATGATATAATGTATTACAATTTCATGATTTGTCGGCTAATGTAAGAACAAGGATATGGTTTCAGTTATTTCTCTTTTTTTTTTTTTTCTGTGTAATTCTTTTAATGCGCTTCGTATTTCTTTCTTATCAATCTTTTATGTATCTAATGATTATAAAATTTGTAAATTTGTGCTAAGATGGTGACATTTCTTAGTTTTTTAACATGCAGTACCCAACATATATCAACATATATATGCAAGTATCATTAAATTCTCAACTTCTTCGAACATGATAATTTGTTCTCCATATAAAGGGTTAAACGATACAAAGAAAATTAAAGTAATATAAAAATATAAAGGATGTAAAGGGTTTACATCCTGTATTCTATATTCTATATTTTTATTCTATATTATCCCTATATACATACTGTATATTCTTATACATGCTGTATGTTCTATACAGTACATATCCTATCCTATACACATCTAAATTTATACATTATATTATATTACATCCTATATTTATTCTAGATATACTGTATTATTATGTAGTGTGCTAAAACTCAAAAGGTTATAAATACAGCATACCTCTCAAAATCTAAATACCTGATCCCCATAATTATTTCATCTACCATTTAAATTTTAATACTAACGCTAACGTTTAGTATTTAAATCATAATACTGTAATGATAATATTAAAGAAATCCCACGCTATAATGATATCACTCCATTTTCTATACATATACGTGAGTAAATATAATTCGATAATTGGTAATCAATAAATCCTTTCATACCATTTATTACTTTTTGCACTCTCTTTGCCATCACAAGCAGAAATACGTCGTACTGACATGTTGTTCGTTAGAATATACTGATATAATTTTATATAGTTACATATTAAATTATTAATACTGCCGCATGATGCACTTTATAAATAATCAAGCAGTATACTCGTGGTTAATGTGATTCAAAGCAATCGGTAAAAAACATTTGTGTATGTCTTTATCTTTCCGTTATTATGT